GGCACTGCAGGAACAGAACTGCAGTCCAGTGCTTCTCCGGTGAAGAGAAGAAAAAGTTAGCTTAGTAACCTGTTACTCATGCATGCACATGATCCTGCTTAAATAAAATGAGGAATCAAGAGGTGGTGTCAAGTAGTTGTCATGCAACAGAACAAGTCCCAGAGGTCGAAGCACTGCGTGCAAGGTTAGGGCTTTACATAAATAATTATTCCAGGTACCTGTTTCACCTGAGCTACTTCCAGGACAGAAATATAAACATGTAGAGTTATACTGCCATGCATCTATTCCAGAGTAAGTCTGACGTGGACAAAACTGAGGAAACTACATATTTACCAGAATTATTGCTCAGGAGCAGCAGAAATATTGATGCCCTGTCTCCTGCAGGAGACTATCTTATTCCCAGTTGACTGTAACTAAAAGGTTAGTGGGTAATAGCTGGAGTTCCCATCTTCACACCTGTAACAAGCCCTCCGCGCTGCTCCTGCTCTCCCTTGTGCCCACCGAGCCGTGGTTGGATGGAGGTTGCTGGGATTTCTGACAGAGGCTGTCAGGTTTCTGACAGAGATGGGCTAATGCCCACAGGCCAGATGAGCAGGTAACTGTTCAGGTCTGGCTTCAGCCACTCCTTCAAACGAGGACATTAGGCTAGGAATCTTTTTTCTAGCCAGTTGGTGAATTTTGTAAAAAAATATAATTTACTACCACCCTATGCCTGTCCCCTTTGCCAGTTTTAGCCAGAGTTGTCTTGATGGGTTTAAAAGCTACTAGGCAGTATATGCAGGTAAAGACATCGAGAATGGATAAGCACCATGTCCTTAAGAAACCAGGCTGACAGCATCAGACTTAATGGATTATAGCTTTATTTTTCAAAGGCATTTCAGTCCAGCTCTCTGCAAGTTTATTGAAATTAAAGCACTATTTGCTCTGCCCTGTGTTTTTGAGAACCTTGTATTTGCTACCTTTGAAAACATAAAAACCAGAACAAATTTAAACTCAGTGGAAAAAGTTCCAGACATGTTTTACATATTAAAACAACTATACTGAATCAACTGTGTTGATTCCATTTTATATACCTATCTAGCCACAAAAGAGGAAAGCCAGAGATACTCAGAAAAAAGTTTGACTGAATAAAAAGTTTGAAACCCGACCCTGAAAAAGTTTGTCAGAAATTATTAGGCTTGAATATAATGTTTGACAGAAGTATCTTCTAGGGAAATTTGTCTTGTTCATTATATGACCCACCCCACATATAGAATCCATATATGCAGAAATAGCTCTATGCAAAATGCACAGTAGTGCTTATGCAAGGGAGGTTCTTAAGGTGTTTTATGTCCTTAGAAGTAAATTTCAGTTCAGTGTTCCAATCTGGAACTGTAAGAAATACAGCCATAATGATTTTACACAGGTACTTCCAAAACCTTTTCTGAAGACAAGGACTTTTTGTACTCAGCCAAATTACTGCCATCCTGGAGAGTACACAGATGATTGTTTAATACTCCGTGCCACCAGATGAGAATCCTATTTCAAGTCTTAATGAATAAATACCCTCTCTGAAACTTCTCATAGTTTTTTCTGCCTTTAAATCAAATTACCAACAGACAGCCCTAGACACCTGCAAAATCTACAGCCATGGGGGAGAACAAACTAAGTCCAAAATTAACTTTCAAAATATTAACATACTTTTTTTTACAGAAACATTTCCCAGAACAAGCAGCTCCAGGGCATGCTCAGTTTGGATTCCACCACAGAAATAAGGACATCTTATGATCTTTCATATCCTCAGAGAGAAGGATATAGGAAATTTGAGGTTGGGAGAATGGTACTCTTTATACCTTGTTTGAATTTCCAACAAAGGTCAAAGTGAAACATGCTTGCTTGTAACATTTTGAGTCATTTTTCCTCTAAGAGAAATAAAGTCCTAATCTTGGTTTCATTGGAAACAATGTATTTTATCACTGACCAGCTGGTGCACTTTTACATTCCAACACAGCAAGTACATAAGGTGTAAAGTTTTACTGACTTCAGTGAGTTATTTGTATGCTTAATTGTTAGAATCACAGAATGGCTGAGGTGGGAAGGGACCTCTGGAGGTCATTGGGCCCAACCAACAGGGGTTTCAGTATGGTCACCCAGAGCAGTTTCCCCAGGACCATGTCTTGGATTTTGGGTATCTCCAAGGACGGCGACTCCACAACCTCCCTGGATAACCTGTACCAGTGCTTGGTCACCCTCAGTGAAAAAGTGCTTCCTGACATTTGGAAGGAACCTCCTGTTTTTCAGTGTGTGCCCACTGCCTCTGGTCCTGACATGGGGCACCGCTGAAAAGAGCCTCGCACCATCCTCTCTGCACTCTCCCTTCAGGTATTTTTATATACATTGGTGAGATCCCCCTGAGCCTTCTCCAGAGTCTCCTCAAAGACATGTTCCAGTCTCTTAATCATCTTAATGGCCCTTCACTGGACTCCTTCTGGTATGTCCATGCCTCTCGTACTGGAGAGCCCAGACCTGGACACAGCACTCCAGGTGTGGCTTCATCAGCGCTGAATAAAGGGGCAGGGTCACCTCCTGCCACAACTGGCAATACCCTAATGCAGCCCTGGTTAACATTTAATTTTTTTGCAGCAAGGGCATGTGTCTGGCTCATGTTCAGCCTGGTGTCCACCAGGACCCCCAGGTCCTCTGCCAAGCTGCTCTCCAGCTGGGTGGCCCCCAGCCTGTGCTGGTGCCTGAGGGTGTTCCTCTCCAGGTGAAGAACTTTGCACTTCCCCTTGCTGAACTCCATCAGGCTCCTGTCAGCCCATTTCTCCAGCCTGTCGAGGTCCCTCTGGGTGGCAGCATGACCCTCTGGTGTATCAGACACTCCTCCCAGTTTTGTGTCATCAGCAATTAATTAATTTTAAAAGGCACCAGAAACATTGATACGATACTGACTTTTTTTAAAAGCCCCAAACAACCCCAAATTGGAATGTTTCATCATAGGCAAAAATTATTGAACATTTGCTAACCTTTTTTAAAAAAAAAACATTGCTTTTAAATACAGTATCCACTCAATTTATTAAACCAGTAACCCTTCTAATTTAAGCATGGGGGCAGTGAACCATGAAATTTCGGTTTTGCCAGTAATTCACGCTCACAAAAATGCCTGACATGCAAGAAGGGGCCACACCAGATGGAAAACCTGCAGGAGAGCAAAATTTAAGAACACATAGCATTGTTAAAGTATTCATAAGCCAATGAGCTCTTCATAAGGGGAGGTGTTGCTCGAAGGCCATTTGCATTAGCATGTTTCAAAGCTTTCTTCCGGGAAATTCCCCCGTTGCGTTTCCTCTTCCCCAGAGCCCTGAGGCGGGCTGACAGGCTGACGTGCCTGTGCACTGGCTCCTTTGCCTCCGAGGCGCAGCCAGGCCCGGTGGCCGCGGGCTAAGAAGCGACACCCACCCCGCCCCATCTCGCCCTGTGGGCACCGAGGTGGTGCAGCCGGGGAGCGCCGCCCCGCCCCGAGCCCCCGCAGCCCCT